AACGAATCCTATTTCATGCACCCATCTTCATTCCCATGGCAATTCCTTTGCTTCCTAGGGTTTTCTTTGGTATAAATTGGATTGTTTCTTCCCTTTACCACCTTCTATCTGATTAAAGTTGGGTTTTCTCCTATCCTTTTTTTGTCTGCTTGTTTTTCGGCAGCTGGATGGTAAGGGGATCCGAACTCTTGACCTTGGTGTTACCAGCACCGCGCTCTGTAGTGAGCTAACGGGCCAGCCCTCTTCCATCCTGTTAATCAGTTGTCTCACACATTCATCTGCTTTCCAGCTCCAAAAGTTTGTTATATTTTATTACATTATCCCTGTTTTTATGAGTTTATTCAAACAAGAACAAAAAACAAAACATTTTGCTGTCATTTTAGTAGAAGATTAGGAAGAAGAAGGAATAAAACAAGTATAGAAAGTGATGAAGTTTGAAATGGTCCTTAGTTTCCTCCTCCCCTTGAAACCTAACTTTCTCTGCTAAAAACCAACACTGTAGAAAAGCACACTAAGGGTGACAATACCATTGAATGCAAAACACAAGTGCATAAAGGTAACTTTCTTGGAATCTTCTGCTAAAGAAAATCAGACTGCTGTTGATGTTTTTAGATGAATAATTTTGGAGGCAGAAAAAATTGATGGGGCAGCTTCACAAAGTCTTCGTGCTCAGTGGTATAATTCTGTTGCAAAACCTGAGGACACTGGGAATCTGTTCTACCTGAAGCAGCAAACTGCCCATTATCCTTTAAGATAAACTATGCTGCTTTTTTCTTTTTTTTAACCTGAAAGATCACGTTTGAGTCAGAAGCGTTTTTTTCATCTCCACCCTATCAGATTATATTAAACTCTTGACTCTGTCCAGATGAGTTCAGTCACTTATATTTTCAAATTTTAAGCAATCATATTTTCACTTTATATGTTGTATTTCTTAATATTATGGCCAAGAATTTTATCAGCATTAGTTTTTCAGTATATCTTATTGTTTAAGTAATGTAATCATCAAAATGGCACATATTGTTACACTACTGTTAACTAGGTTCAGTGTTTATTTCACTGTGTTAAATGTATACTTGTAAATAAAATAGCTGCAAACCTGAAATATCTTCCTCAGATGATCTGAAGTTAGGGAGTATGTAAAAGGCAACTTTTAAATCTTATTCAAAATCCAAAAAACATCTATCCCTTCTGAACTGATTTATGTAGTTCTGCTGTTTGAATTATCTGTCTGATACAACACAAGAAAATTTGTTTTATGTTCCTTCGCATAGTTAATTTATTGACTTTTTTCCCCCTTCCTCTTTCCCTACAGCATTGACAAAATCTCTAAAATAACCTCTCCGGTATTAATAATTCATGGGACTGAAGATGAAGTCATTGACTTTTCACATGGCCTCGCGTTGTTTGAGCGTTGCCAAAGACCTGTGGAGCCTCTGTGGGTTGAAGGAGCAGGTCACAATGATGTGGAACTTTATGGACAATACCTTGAAAGGTTGAAACAGTTTGTGTCACAGGAACTGGTAAATTTGTAAAATTCTGTAAATTTGCATACTGGGTCTTTTCTTGATGAACTGCACTCTTTGGCAAATAACATAAAACCTGAAGGTTTTGTTTGCAAATCATGTCAGTTGCCTTCATAAATGTACAGGTAATGATTTGTTAACAGACTTAATGAGGGTTTAAATTACCAGAACTAGAAACTGGAAGTTACAGTATCATGCAGTCAGGCTGTATAATTTATATTTTTTCTGTGAATTTTTTTTAAAACATCAAGATGAGTACTGTATGAAATTTTGATTCTATAAAATCAAATGCTGTGAAAGTATTGCCAAATGCTTTTGCATATCAGAAACAAATTTATAAATATTTTTAAAACATCTCAGTGTACTAAATCTTATCCCGGTATACAAATGTAATATTCTTTTCCAAAACAGCTGTATATCTAAAGAAATTAAGTACTCATAAACTGTAAAAAAAAACAATAAACTGTAAAAAAAAAAAAAGAAAGAAAAGAAAACATGTAAGTTCACTAGAGTTGACCTAAACCCTGTTGTATAGGGATAGAGGTTTAAACGGTCATTTTATTGTAAAATACATGGAATTTTCTGTATTCTCTGGTTACCATACATTTATCTTTACAAAAAAAAATGATGTAAGTCTTAATTTTTATGCCATCTGTTAATTTACGAATAAGTTACCTTGTAAAAGAAGTCAAGATAACACTGGATTTTGGCTAGTTTTGAGTTATACGGTTGGCACTGTGAGGCAACTACTTAAAATTTTCATTTTGGTCATTTGAAAGGCATTTAGAGCTTCAAAAATGATTTTGTATGCAATGTTTTAAATTTTGATAAATCTCATAGAATTGCAGTGCTCTTCATTATATGAAAACCTGAAAGTCCATTAGTTCTTCAAGACCACAAACTGACTGGCTATTTGGTCCCTTTTCACTTTGACTATTTTTAAGAATAGGACCTGTTTTAGATTACTATCTGAGAATTTCACAGATCTGCTTCTGGATACAGGAGATAAGAAAACATTAAATTCATAACTTTTTATATTAACCAATATAGTAAAAAAAATAAAGCTCACACACACAAAAACTAAGTTGCCTTTCCTTGAATGAATCCTGCCTGAATAAAACAATGAAAGAAAAAAAATAAAATTAACGGTATGTAGTCCAATTTGTAAATGAATGAATATTGAAATAATACACACTGTGGATATATTTTAAGGCCTTATGTAGTTTTAATTGTTCTGCTTGTTCTGTGGTTATGTCTAAGACTATAGTATATGATTCTCTTCAAAGTATATCAAGTATTGTGAATGCTTTGGTTCAAGATGTCAAACTAACAGTAAAACAACAAATATTTCACTCAGCTGTGCTTATTTGCCTTCTTCCACACTCCCCACCCCACTAGAAAGAGTGAAAAAAAGGTACCATTCATTTTTATAGGACAAAGTTTAAAGTTTTCTAAATTTTATAATCACTTTTGGAGAGGTGGTTTTTTCCCTCAAGATTGTCTTGTAACCTATACAGTTCCTTCTTTGTATGAAATACAAACCAAGGTTTAACTGAATGTTTATTACCTGGGAACATCTAAATACTGATCATACTAATCCAGTATATGTTCATTCGTTCAACAAATATATACTGAATGTCTAAATTATGCAAAACCCTATGCTAGGTAAAGACTAACGTAGAGCTGTCCTCATAGACTTCACAGGGTAGCTGAGTAGGCAGACACCTCATTGCACAAATATTAGTATTTTGATAAAAGCTGAAGGAGATTTGTAGGATATTGTAACAGGTGAAAGGTACTGTTGGGGGAGGGGAGCATGGGCAGGGGGCAAGGAAGAGTTCCATGAAGAAGTGGGGTTTGAACTTAGATTTGAAGTATAAGAATTAACCTAGATCTGGGTGACCCAGAGGAAGCATTCCTGGCTGAGGGGAGCAAAACATGGAAGCCTAGAGGAAGGAAGGTGCATTTAAAATGTAAGACGACTAATCACAGGTCATGAGGAAAGGATGGCATAGATGGTTGAGGCTGACATGGGCTAATTATGATCACAATATTAGATGGCTAATTATGATCACAATATTAGATGGTTTCATGGACCCCGATCTTTATCCTAGAAACAACAGAAAGCCATTGATACAAATATGCAACTGTGTTTGTCCAGAGTATATAGATGACAAAATCTGGAGATTTTAGATTGCTAGAAATAACATAAGCCAACTGTTTAGTAACTGATCAAATCTTAAGGGTGCTGAAAAATCTTGGGAATCAAGGGGAAATGATCTCAGTATACAAAGTGCTGGTCAAACAACATATGCAATATTAATTTCATTTTAGGATGCAGTGAAAGGATGATTTACAAATTAGAGCAAATTCTGAGGTGTTTTATCAAGTTAGAAAGGGTCCCATAAACAAATCCAAAGATTAGCTGAAGGATGTGACTAAAGAACTAAGTGAAAATGACACAGAGCTCTGTAAGAAATTTATGGTTATTTGTCTATCAAGAAAACGGATTGCTTTCTAACAATTTAATGAGTATCTTACCACTAGAGCAGCAGAAGCTGCATGACATCTGTCATAGGTGCCACAAAAGAAATTCCAGATTTATCATTGAGTGGTAAGAGTTCTTTATATATACTGGATGCAAGGTTTGTTTTTTGGTATTTTTTGTTTTTTTTTTCAGCAGGGAGCAGCTGGCAGGTACTGGGATCCAAACTTGCCCCTGGTGTTATCAGCACCATGCTCTAACCATGCCAGCCCAGAAATTCCAGATTTAAATGGGAAGTTAAATTAGAAGAATTGCGAGTGTGGTCCCTTTAAGATTTTATATTACTAAACCTTAAAGATGTACTGGGAAAAATTTTTTTAATGATTTTATATTCCGTTCAGATTTCTCCTACTTCTCAGAGCATCGTTTGCCCAATCGCTTTTAGAAGATAGTGTAGGCCCGAGCCCGTGGCACACTCGGGAGAGGGTGGCGCTGGGAGCACACAGCGCTCCCGCCGCGGGTTTGGACCCTATATAGGGATGGCTGGGGCACTCACTGGCTGAGTGCGGTGCAGCCTGTCTCAAAAAGGACCCAAAAAAAAAAAAAAAAGTGTATAGAATTGGCAGATCTGGGCTCAGCTGACACCAATTAGATGTGTGACCTTGAGCAAATCACTTCTTACGAAGTTTCCTCACTAGAAATGAAGAGTTGGAACTGATTTAATAATATCCCTTATATTTCTAATATGAAAATCTCTCAGCCCTGCTCACGTGTAATGGTTCATGTTAATTTTTAATTTTAGCCTTGGCTGGAATAGTCCTAGATAGCTTGTTTTGATATTTGCCTTTTGTGCATAACATGGTACGATTTGGATAGTAACGCTAATTGTTGGAAAGTGGTCAGCTGTATACATACCTCCTGCCGTTATCCTGCAAGTACAAAAAGCACAATGGTAGATAAAAGTTTCATAAATTGATTTATTATCTTCACACTTTTCTAGACTTCTGACTTTTGCAAATCTACCGTCCTAAGAATATATATCTAACAGAATTTTTTTATGATTTCTATAATTATATTGGTATTCAGGAGAGTGATAAATGAAAATGAATTTTAGAAATTGTAAAGTTGCCTTTCGGCCGGAACCGCCATCTTCCAGTAATTCGCCAAAATGACGAACACAAAGGGAAAGAGGAGAGGCACCCGATATATGTTTTCTAGGCCTTTTAGAAAACATGGAGTTGTTCCTTTGACCACATACATGCGAATCTACAAGAAGGTGATGTTGTAGACATCAAGGGAATGGGAACTGTTCAAAAAAGAATGCCCCACAAATGTTACTTTTAAAACTGGAAGAGTCTACAATGTTACCCAGCATGCTGTTGGCATTGTAAACAAACAGGTTAAGGGCAAGATTCTTGCCAAGAGAATTAATGTGTGTATTGAGCATATTAAGCACTCTAAAAGCCGAGACAGTTTCCTCAAACGCTTGAAGGAAAATGATCAGAAAAAGAAGGAAGCAAAAGAGAAAGGAACCTGGGTTCAACTGAAGCGCCAGCCTGCTCCACCCAGAGAAGCACACTTTGTGAGAACCAATGGCAAGGAGCCTGAGCTGTTGGAACCTATTCCCTATGAATTCATGGCATAATGGATGTAAAAATATATATAAAATAAAAGGCCAAGACCGCCGTACTATAAAAAAAAAAAGAAATGGTAAAGTGACAGTAATTGTGTAAATAGTGATATTCTTGGTGCATTTAAACATTATGACAAAAATGAGCAATTTTTCATGAACAGGTATTATGGAAAGTCAGATAAAACACACATCTTAAAGACTTTAGAGGGCCGGCCCGTGGCTCGCTCGGGAGAGAGAGGTGCTGATAACACCAAGGCCCCGGGTTCGGATCCCATATAGGGATGGCCGGTTCGCTCACTGGCTGAGCGTGGTGCTGACAACACCAAGTCAAGGGTTAAGATCCCCTTACTGGTCATCTTTTAAAAAAAAAAAGACTTTAGAGATCAGAAAGCCTAATCCCACATTTTACAGGTGCAGAAACAAACCCAAAGTGACTTTCCCAAAATCTACAATGAACAGTGGTACTATGTCCCATTATCTTCTCTTTACCAAGTTCATCTGGAGTAATATACCGATGATCCTTTCAAACTATAAGACAACATAAATTTACTTGCTCTCTAATGTTAGTCATAATTTTATTTTTTAATGGCTCCTAAATTCTTATCAGCTAATTTACTCCTTGAGTAGTAAATGATAGGTTGTGCATTTCACATTTCTCAAATTAATGATTTGTATATTTAAAGTATTTAACAGTAGTAATTTATATTACTAGGTACAGTAACAGCTTTTTAGTTGTGTTAAAACCTACTGAGCATGGTAACCATGGTCACATGAATAAACAATCAAGTGTTTACTTCAGCAGCCATTTACTACAAATTATAACATGCCAAGAAAAAGCAATTACATTAAAAAAATATCAAAGTAGTTATTACTAATTGGTTTTTAGCTTGTTGCTTTGGTTTAAACTAGGCGATATACTCAAACATACTCATGGTGAATACTCACCATGATAGCATGTTGCATTCTAATAATGTACACCCCAAATCTCTAGCAACCAAGAAAAGTAACAATTTATGTTTATGATACTTGAAATTATGTTTTGAGTTGTAATTTGCACGATGGAGAAAGAAGGCATTTGTTTACCACATCTCTAAACAGATTATGCCCCTGACTGAATAGTTGAATGAGTAATGCTAAGGAAGGAAGCAAACACCTCTAGCCTGGAAATCACTTGACATTAGAGTTAAAAAATAAAAAAACAGGAAGTAAAGAATGGGGTCTTTCCAAATGTCAGTGAGCTGAACGCTGTTAAACTGTTTCTTTCGTATGAAGCCAGATGGACTTGAAATTATTTTACTCCCTCTATTTCCTCTTGTAGGCATGTACTAAGCTTGCATAATACAATAATAACAATCTGGAAAAAAGTTTTAATAGCGTGCTTTAAGAAATGAGATTCTTATATTTGAAAAATACAGGGAAATGCTCCTTTTAAATTATATTTATTTATCTGCTGATAAAATGCAAATTTCAGCTATTGTACTGCTTAATTAATTCAGAATTGAAATTTTTTTTTTTTCAAAACAACTGCTGCCAGGCGTATATTGAAGTAGGGAGGGTAGCAGTAACAGGCAGGTTTATGGATATAGGGGAAACTATCAAAATTTTAAAATGTACTGTTGCTTTCCAAATTACCTACTAAGTCTGGTAGATTTATTACAGACTAAGCCAAAACTTCTAATTAGTAGTCTGCACTACAAATCTTACTGAGATGAAGCTTGTTTGTATTTAAACATCCAATAACTTTGATAAAGTCAGAGGCCATCTATAGTAACCCACCAAAGTTTGAGATTTTGCTTTTTTTGTTTGTTTTTTTGGAAGTCTGGGCTCTATGCCTTCTATGTCCACCACATGAAAACAGAATGGGCAGGAGGGAGAAAGACACAAGAAAATAACTTACATATCCCAGAATACATGTGATGCTATTCAGAATGATAATTGCACTTGCAGGGCCGGCCTGTGGCTCACTCGGGAGAGTGTGGTGCTGGTAACACCAAGGCCCCGGGTTCGGATCCTATATAGGGATGGCTGGTTGGCTCACTGGCTGAGCGTGGTGTTGACAACACCAAGCCAAGGGTTGAGATCCCCTTACTGGTCATCTTTAAAAAAAATAAAAATAAAAAAAATAATTGTACTTTCAAAAGTATCCAATGTAATACCAAGTGAAAAAAGAAAAATATAATTATACCTCTGTAAAATAAAATGAATGCTTAATGCAATAAAACCAATGACAAAGTTACTGTGTTGAGGGAGTAGGATTATGGGTGTTTTTTATCTTTTTGTTTTGTTTTATTTGGAACATAGTTGATTGTACATATCTGTGAGGTACAGCATTGAGTGAGTATCAATACCTGTGTGCAATATGTGATGTTCAAATTGAGGTAATTAGTATATTCACCATTATACAATGTAATCGATTTTCATGGCCCTTTACCAATTCCTCTCTTCACTCCTCCCTTTCCCCTTTCCCACCTCTGGTAGCCTCAGTTCTGTTCTCTTCTTTTTTAAGTTCAACATTGTGATTGTATTTTCTTTCATTCTTTCGTTCTTTCTTTTTAGCTCCCACTTATAAGTGAGGACATGGAATATTTCTCTTTCCGTACCTGGCTTATTTCATTTGACATAATTTTCTCTAAGTTCATCATGCTTCTGCAAATGGCAGTATTTTTTTTTTTTTTTTGGCAGTATTGTATTCCATTGTGTAAATATACCACCTTTTCCTTATCCAGTCAACTGACGATGGACATTTAGGTTGGTACCAACTCTTGGCTATTGTAAATAGAGCTTCAATAAACATGGGAGTGCAGGTATCCCATCAACATGATGATTTCCATTTCTTTGGGTATATATACCCAGCAGCAGGGTTGCATGGCAGTTCTATCTGTAGTTGTTTCAGGAACCTGCATACTGTCCTTTATGTTACTATGTTACTTTTTATTACTAAAATAGAAGAAAAACAAAACAAAAACCTGGTTCTTAACTGTCTCCCAGTTTTCACTGTTAGAAACCAACTTCTGGGTTTCTTAAATTATAAAACTCCAAAACAGATAAAGAAGTACACGGGTATTTCAAAAAGTTCATAGAAAAATAAATTTAAGAGATAACACAAATCTTTGCGTGAACTTTTTGAAGTACTCTAAAATGTGTTTTTAGCCTAGCTGTTAGAACAGCAAATAAAAGTAGCTAAAAGATGAGGGTTCCTTGTATTTTGGTACCACTGAATTTTTGTGTTCTGTTTTGACAGGAAGTGTAATGAATTGTGTAATAATATCTGAAACTTACCCTCATTGAGTACCATGTCTAACTAAATTATTTTCTAGGCAATGCCTACATATCACATCTATTAATGATGTTACAAAGCCAATAGTGCTTTGTTATAATTATCACTTAACCATCTCTGGTTATTTCCTTAGCCTATTATAGCTTTGCTTGTACTCATTTGTGCTATTACTGACAAATCTATTACATATATATTACATTTCTACATGTTATAGACCCAATAATACATTATAATATACATATTATTTTAATTTTTTTTTTTTAATAAAAGATGACCGGTAAGGGGATCTTAACCCTTGACTTGGTGTTGTCAGCACCACACTCAGCCAGTGAGCCAACCGGCCATCCGTATATAGGATCCGAACCCGCGGCCTTGGTGTTAAACAGCACCGCACTCTCCAAGTGAGCCACGGGCTGGCCCTTACATATTATTTTATAAAATTGCTTTTTAAGTCAATTAAGTGAAGGAGAAAAAATATGCATTTATGGTTACATAATTACCTTTATCAATGTTCTTTGTTCCTGTAGAATTGTATTCCTGGGGCCGGCCCGGTGGCGCACTGCTACAGTGCACCGCTTGGGAGTGCGGCGCTGCTCCCGCCGAGGGTTCGGATCCCACATACAGACCGGTTCCCGCTCACTGGCTGAGCGAGGTGCGGCCGCAGCACCGAGGGTTGCGATCCCGTTGCCGGTCCCGGTCCCGGTCCGGTACGGGCACGACACTGAGGGTTGCAATCCGTTGCCGGACACGAAAAAAGACACACACACACACAAAAAAAAGAATTGTATTCCTGGGAGTCACTTGCTTTCAGCCTGAAGAAATTTTAGTATTTCTTACGAGTCTGCTAGCAACAAATTCAGTTTTTATCTGGGAAAATATTTCATCTTAATTTTTGAATAGTAGCTTTGCCTGAATATAGGATTCTTGGTTGCCACTTTTTTCTTTGAGCGATTTGAATGTTTTTTGCATTGCTTTCAGGCTTCCATTGTTTCTGATGAGAAGTAAGGTGTTAATCATATTGAATTTCCCTTGGAAGTGAAAAGTGCTTTTCTCTTGCTAATTTCAAGATCTAGTCCTGTCTTTGAATTTCAGCATTTACACTGTGATCTGTCTGTCTGTGGGACTCTTTGCATTTATCCTTGGAGTTAATTGAGCTTCCTGGATGCACAGGTTATTTTTTCAGTAAATTTGCGAAGTTTTCTATTATTTCTCCAAATATTTTTTTCTTCTCTCCTCTCCTGGTACTCTCAGCTCAAAGGCTATAGGATGACATCTGCTCTTAGTTAATTCACCCAAGCTTGCTTTGCTTTTTATGTGCTTAGGTTTGCTTTCCAGTTTTCTCTGTTGTCCTTTGACACTGTTAACTGTCACTGCTGGATACTGAGTTTCTTTCTTCTGCTCTAACTTACTGTTTCTTGTGTTTCTACTTAGATGATCTGGGAAACCAGATAATTGAGTTCGTTAAATTACATCTAAATTAAGAGCAAAATAGGTCTGCTTAAGGCCTTGAAAGGCTATGCTATGAGCTACAGCCAGACAGCCAAGACCAAAGCTGCCTCACCCTGAGGTAAGAATTAGTTACTGGGCCGAGCCCGTGGCGCACTCGGGAGAGTGCGGCACTGGGGGTGCAGCAGCGCTCCCGCCGCGGGTTCGGATCCTATATAGGGATGACCGGTGAGCGCGGTGCGGCCGGTCTCAAAAAAAAAAAAAAGAATTAGTTACTAACTGCCCAGTTGACTGGGTTCTGTCCAGCAAATCTGGATTTCTAGAGCTTGCTGCTTGAAGCCTGCTTCTGGTG